TTCATTAGTGACAAATAAAAGCCTGGCCCGGCCCGGCCCATGAACAGGTCTACGTGTCAATATGGCAGGTTCTTCCCAGTTTAGAGTTGAGGCTAAACAAGACTTCTGCTATATAAGAAGAAGAAGATCAACCTTTCCACTTGTACAAGCGTCCCTTTCTTTTCCACTCGTTCACACTATTTTTCTTAGTTCTAATACGTGCAATACTGGAAATTGATACGGATCCATTATTGGTCGGCTTCGATTCATCGCCCTCTGACTTGGATTTATTCCACATATTACAATAAATGTTCTATGTTGGTTAGGTAATAGGTACGACGACAATAGTGCACAAGGAAATTTGTTCTGGTTTCAAATTATTTAGATCCCAAAAAATCTGGTCATTTATAGTTTTTATTTTTGAAGATTTATAAGCTAATTAGAATTTTGATATGATCTTGCCATTTTGGTATATACTATCGGGTTGCAGTACTGAAGCCTGAAGGGTTTGACCCGAGTAACTTCAGATTAAACGGAGAATCTTCCATACCTAGTCGGATTAGTGCATTCGAACGGGTCAAACGTGAAGTTTCTGGGGTCTGCCCCATTTAACAGCCGGTGGATAAACTTTAAACACAACTTAATGTAATTGAAAGAAAGAGGAAAGAAATAACAGAATAATTTCATTCAAAGTTAACAAGCGCAAGCATGTCTACAGGCTGATGGCTAAAGAGATTACCTGAAATAGAGTCTAAACCCAACACATTAGAAAAAGTATGGTTCAACAAATTCAACACCATCTCTGAATTACGAATGCAAATTTTTGGTTGAGATTCTTCAGACTAATTGTTTTGGTAGGACCCAGGACGATATATCATGGAATTAGCAGGGAACCGATAGGTGGCGGTGGGCCATCCTTAATTCCGCATTAGAATGTAGAAACTTCATACCACAATTCACATGGAGAACGTCACCAAGAAGAATATCAAATCTCTATTGCATGCTCAGGTCAGGACCCCATATATAATAGGATTTGGGCCTGCAATATTTTTTCTTTTACTTAAATGTGTCTCAGATCAGATCCACGTACAGGAACCCAACTCATGATCATGGACAAAAAAGGAAGACTAATGCGATCAAGTGAGGCTTGCTTCTTTCCTCGATGGTTTCGTCTGCTTTTGCCAGGACGTGAGTGACCCTTTTCGGATCGGCCATGTGGTCTCTTCCACATATATACCAGGGTCCATGCATGCGATCCACACTTTTTGGGGCTTATCTTTTTACCACGTGGCAAGATTTCCAGGGTGAAAAGAAATGATTGAGATAGAAACCGAGAAACATCTGCCTTAAAATAACTGCAATAGCAATACGAAGATTTCTGAGTCGTTTAGATTTCTTTTGCCCACAACTGATGGCAGAAATATCTTCCTATTATACATACTATTACTACTACCACTTTTAACTTTTAACAGACAAAAATATTAAAGTCAAATACCATTGGTTATTCGACAAAGGCAAAAATCATTAGTTGGTGCCATTTGACTAATTTTCTATTTCTATATGAAATAAGTTGAACGTATTTTTTTGATGTTGTTGCAAGACTTGGCCATGATCTGGTTGTGATTTATGAATTTTGAGCAAATCTACAACATTGACTTGGCAATACCTAACCCATTCCCCATATCACAAAGGAAATATAAAAGATATGGAAAAAACAAACGAGACATGGAGCAGAAGAAGAAATACTTGTCTTGCTCCCATGATTTATCCTAGACCAATCGCCAGCTAAATTCATCAACTCCTAGACGTGGCGATCATTTTCAAATTGAAAATGGGTAGGAGAAGGACTGTGGCCTGTTCCCAGACCATCACTTAGCATTTAAGTCCTCCACAATGAAAACATACATCGGCCATATATATTTGCTTCTTTCTGCATGCAATTAATTTCTGTCCTATCCACTCTCACCCTGCATGCACCCTCATCAATCACCATTGATTGTTCGCGATTTGTGCTTTCTGTTAGTAGATATGTCGGATGATGCCAAAATGAGTACTTTATTTTGGTCGAGCTGCAAGAAAGTGAAAGCTAGTATTCTGAACTTTAAGTCAATAAAGAGGTTTGAGAGACTTAAAAGTGATTGAACTAGAGAATTAGTGAATTCTGAGAGCTAAAGCATGTGTACCTTTCTTTGAAAATGGGGGTGCTCTTATATAGGCGTCGGTTGGCATGAGTTTCATGCACCACATCCGAGATCTTCGAGAGGACATGACTTACCAATTCGAAGTTCTTGGAGGTAGTTTCATACGTGGACTAGGCTTTTGTGCCTTATTTGGTTGTCTCCAGAACGACCGGTGCGGGAACTGACTTCTGGAGGACCCGAGAGTGATAAGACGCACATAGAGGAGGTTAGCGAGCACATCTCCTAGGTCGCCACCTAGACCTCAGTCAGATTGGTAAATCCTTCGGGAGAGGTTACTCCTCATGCTGAGGTCCCTTGGACCGAAAATGACGAGGTACCATAGGTCGGCCCTAGACAATAGGGGTGCTCACGGTTCGGTTAACTGAACAGTGGGGCATTTTTTGGAACCGAACCGGTACTACTGGTTTTTGGAAAATCGGTAACCATAACCAAACCGAAGCTAATCGGTTAACCGGTTCGATTAACTATCAGTTCAGTTCGTCGGTTTTTCGATTTTTTTTTGTTTTTACAATATATATATATATATATATATATATATTATATTTTAAATAATAAATATATATTTATATTTAATGCATATTTATTAATTTATAATATATAATAATATATAATATATATAATATAATATACATAAATATATATAATATATAGAAATATATGTATACTAGTTGGTAGACCTGTTCAAGGGTTGGGCCGGGCTTTCACTCTGCATTAACAGATTTTTTTATGGCCCGAGCCCGACCCAACCATCAGGCCTACAACTTGGGTCAGAGCCTGACCCTCATAAAAAGCTCGAAGCCCGGGCCTGGGCCTGAGCCCAAAGTATATAGCTCATGCCGCTGCTGAAGCGGCTGAATAGAGAGAGAGAAATTATAAAGAAAAAAATAAAAAATGTATATATATTATATATTTTATATTATATAAATGAGTTCGATTGGGCTAGGCTTTTCTAACAAATCCCAAGCCCGGATTGACACACAGTCGGGCTTGGTGTTTTGGGCCCGAGGTTAGGCCCGCATGCCTAATTACATGTCCAAGCCCAACCAGAGTGCGAGCCAAGCCAGGCTAGGCAATCGAGCTACCCGACCCATGAATAGGTCTACCAATTGGTTTGGTTAACCACTAGTTATTGGTTAACCGAAACCGAACCAATACCCTTGGTTTTTTAAAAACATCAAACCGAAACCGAACCAACCAGTTCGGTTATCGATTTTTCGATTCAGTTTCGGTCGATTTCTTCGATCAATTTAGTTTTTTTGCTCAACCCTACTAACAACGTGTTGCTAGTTGCTTTGCCGATATGCCTAAATTGTATACAAGATGTTTGGACTAGTTCCGAGTGCGCTTCCTTAAATATTTACATGTGTATGCCATATTGTCATAGGGGTAGTTCTATAGCAAAAGAAACTCGTGCGGCGTCCAGGCCAAGGAAGGCCAAGACAAGCCTTATGTGCACTTGGGGCTAGGAGTTACCTGATGAGATGGATCCACCAAGGTCAGTAGCACTGGATCATTACCTTAGTTCGCATGGTCAAGGTTCTCTGTTGACTCTTTTCGGTCCATGGGAGGCGTCGTTTACGTGCTAAAGGGGGACGACTAGATGAGAGGCGACTTGGTGCCGATGAGAGGGGGGCACCTGTTGTCCAATGATGATAGGCAACCGCTGGACTGGAACACACCCATGCACTAAGGGCAACGGGATGGCTCAATCAACTTGGGCAAGGGGCTGGCGAGGTGTAGGGACATGCTTAAGCCAGACTTACAAGCCAAGCCTCCCTTGAGTGTCGGTGGCACAGTGTCGATCCATGCACTGTCCTCATGAGCATGTGTGCACCCATAAGGAACTCTGGTAGCCATGCTAACCATTAACCAGGACTACCCCGCAAGGAATATTGATCGAGGAGTGCAAGAAGGTCGATCACCCCTCCTCAAAGAGTATGTTTAAAGTTTTTGGTAATCTACCTGGATAAGATATGAGATTTTTCGATAATCTTACTAACAAAAACGACATAGTATCCCTTAACGTAAACCCGCCAAACATAAACAACACTAAACCTGTGTCAGACCAGACCATGACAATATGATGGCCTCTCATGCCATAAGTCGCGATGTCATTGAAGGGAAAAATCACCCTTCGTCAACATGCTATTGCTATCACGTCTTTGTATGCAAGGGCACGGCCCCAATTTATGGCTTTGGAGACTACAAGGGGACGGTCTGCTGTCTACTGTTGGAAGTGGGCCCATGGCCTTTTTGATTTATTGTCGGCCAGTCGTGCGATCAACATTAAGGCGTGACAGTATCAAGGAAAAAAAAGGATGATTGAGAGAGTCCACCTTCTGACTTTTTATTAATAAATAGTTAAATACAATAAAATAAAAATTCAATCAGGAAGAAGAAGAAAGAAGAAACATTCAAATTCAGGCCTGTGCATTTATAATAACATAATTATTAATCCAAGAAAAACCGATTCAATGCTTTTGACGTCGATTACAATGGGATTATGGGAAGAGAAGAGGTCCGACAGAGTGAACCCATCATCAGAAGTCACATCTCACAACTACCCTTCCACCCGACCGCGTCCACTGCTCATGCAAATATACCCTTTTATTTTAGACCATAATTACCAAAACACCCTCTCCTGTTAGGACACCACATCCAACTGCTCCCATGGATATTTTTGTCACTTGATGAACAAATGCCTGGCAACAATTACCAACCACTCTGCTTTGAAACTGTCAGCAACCAAAACCAAACCGAAGTTTGCACATAAAGAAATTAACGTCATTTCCCCAAACTGTACAAGAACCAAAACAACACGCTCTGTTTCCAGTTTCCATCATATCTGCATATTCCATCTTCTCTTCGTCTTCATCGCCGTAATGTTTTCGCCAAGGGTTCCCTCTGTTTTCTTTCCTTTCTTCTTCGTTTTTATTTTCCCTTTCGCTCATTCTCAGTCGAATTTCCCACAGAATATCGAAACTTTCTTTCCACAGCTCTCTTCTCCTCCACCTCCTCCTCCTGTATTTCCCCCGCCCACCCTTCCAAACAGTCCTCCTATCTCTCCGCCAACTCCATTGACACCGCCACCGCCCACTCCATCGTCGGACTCGCACAACGTCGCTAAGGCCGTCGCAGCCACCGCTGCCAGCACTCTTGTCGTTGCCGGTGTCATCTTCTTTTTCCTTCGGAGGTACACCGTCAAGAGACGTCGTCGCCAGGATGAGAAAAATCCGACGGTTTTCCGCCCAGGCAAGGTTATGGCTTCCCGGGACGAGTTCAAGAGATTCGACCTCAAAGGGGTGATTGTTGACGAGAATGGTTTGGATGTACTCTATTGGAGGAAGCTTCAGGATGGACAGCGTAAGAATAGTTTCCGTAAGGAAGTCATTCCTAACCGTAATATTGATGGAGGAGAACCGGAGACTCGTAGAGGAGGAGATCGAAGCAGGAGATCTGAACAAAATCAAGAATCACCATTGCTTAGCGAGAGCTCTTCAACTTCCTCTACGCAGATTAGGCCGGCAGTACGAGAGCCACGTCAGAAAATGGCTGACCTTTCTCCTGTGTATGATTGGATTCCTCTTCGCGAAGTGGACAAACCACCATCACCAACTCCACCACCAACGCCTCCACTCTCAGCACTCCCCGTCCCACGACCTCCACTCTCAGAGCCCTCACCTCCACGGCTTCCACTGTCAACGTCCCCACCACCGCCGGCGCCGCCACCACCCCAATCACGATCAACTGCACCACCGCCCTCACGTCCTCCTCTGCAAACATCACAGGCGATTCCTGAAAAGAAAAGTCAGGTAGCACCTCCTCCGCCTCCAGCTCCTACGAAGAAAGCTCCAGCACCACCACCGGCTCCACCATCTAAACCGGGAGGCGCTGCACCCGGAGGGAAATCGATCAGAAGTGCGCATGCAGAGGCTTCATCATCGAAGGAGACGGGTGCTGGCCAAGTGAAGCTCAAGCCGTTGCACTGGGATAAGGTGACGGCTAATGCCGATCACTCCATGGTCTGGGACAAGATTAGTGAGGGTTCATTCCGGTGAGTCTCATTCCCGAAATCAAGACTAACTTTTACTCTTTGGTAAATTCATGATTAAGAAAAAACATAATAACATTTCTTGTTACTAAATCAATATTTCTTTTTTTTATTTTTTAGGTTTGATGACAATCTCATGGAAGCTCTGTTCGGTTACATGGCCACGAACCGGAAGTCGCCTGAAAGAAGTAGAGCGTCAACGAATCCGAACAGCTCCAAGTCTGGCCCGCCTGCACAAATATTCATCCTCGACCCCCGTAAGTCCCAAAACATAGCAATAGTACTTAGATCCCTCGCCGTTTCTCGCCAGGAAATCCTTGATGCCCTCCTTGAGGGGCGAGGCCTTAGTGCTGATACCCTAGAAAAGCTTACCAAAATTAGTCCAAGCAAAGAAGAAGTAGCCGAGCTACTTGCATTCGGAGGCAACCCCACCAAACTTGCCGATGCTGAATCCTTCCTCTTCCACATCCTGAAAGTTGTTCCCTCCGCTTTCGCCCGTCTCGAAGCAATGCTTTTCAGGTTGAATTACGAACCAGAAGTCATCCAGCTCAAGGAATATCTACAGACACTTGAACTAGCTTGCAAGGAACTCCGAAATCGTGGGCTTTTCTTGAAACTTTTAGAAGCCATCCTAAAGGCAGGCAATTTGATGAATGCTGGAACAGCAAGAGGTAATGCGCAAGCGTTCAACCTCAATGCACTTCGAAAGCTTTCAGACGTTAAAAGTATAGATGGAAAGACTACGCTCCTTCACTTTGTTGTGCAAGAAGTAGTTCGGAACGAAGGCAAACGCTGTATAATCAATAGGAATCACAGCCTCGGTCGAAGTAACAGCGGGAGCAGCACCAACAGTAGTGGGTGCTCCGAGTCTTTGGTTGCAAAAGAAGAACGACAGAAGGAGTATATGATGCTCGGGCTGCCGGTGGTCGGAGGACTTAGCGTTGAGTTCTCTACCGTAAAAAAAGCAGCGACAATAGACTACGATACCTTAGTCAAAACATGCTCCACTCTAGCAGCCCACGTTGCCCAAACTCGGGATATCTTGATAAGATGCAGTGTCAACGAGGGACATGGGTTTGTGAGGGAGATGAAAGGATTCGTAGACAAAGCTGAAGAAGAGCTCAAGGCATTGAGGGAGGAACAAACGAGGGTATTGGGTCTTGTGAAGAAAACAACAGAGTATTACCACGCAAGATCTTCCAAGGGGGCTTACCCACTTCAGTTATTTATTATAATCAAGGATTTTCTGGGCATGGTTGATCAAGTATGCATTGACATTGCTCGGGATTTGCAGAAGAAGAAGACAACGAGCGCCGGTACATCACCACCAATGTCACCCATAAAGAAGATTACGGTGAGGTTCCCGAAATTGCCGCCACATTTTATGTCAGACAGGTCCAGGAGCTCTTCTGGTTCCAGTGATTCGGATGACGATTTTTGAAGAGGTGTCAATATTTGAATCCTCAAATTAAGGATTTGATTACTGTACATAATAAACAGGAATAGTAGCTAAGAGTAGGAGAATGGAACACACATAGCTCGTTGAGTAAATTATTAATTGATCATGTCATTGCGTTGATTCTTTACTTAATATCGAATTGTTGGAGTCAGATGAAAAGTTGTCCATCTTGTAGTGTAAATTAATTTTTGAGTTTTTTTCTTTTTTAACTTCATTAATTTCAATACATCATGATCATGAAGATTGAATCGAAGAAGTTATTGGGATTACGTAGTTTTTTTTTTTTTGTTGGAAAAAATATATCATTAACATAAACAGCAAAAAAATCAACAAGAACAGAGAAGAGAACCCAGCAACCAGTCATGATTCAACCAAAGAAAGAATCAGCAACGACTACCTTAAATATCAGAGACAACGACATTCCTCAGTGGCTCAGTCCCCCTATATCCAGCTTGAGGCATATCAAAAGCTGAGCTGGTTCAAGAACAGAAGGGCTGAAGGGGCTATGTAAATACTAGTGCAGCTGTGGGGGCATCTGTCATTCAATCCCAAGCAGGGAAGACATACCTGGCATTAGTTTGACAGTGAAATTTAATATGCGCAAGCTCCACCGAAAGAGGATACAGCTGTGAAATGGTTGATGAACTCATTAAATGAAGTATAAAAATTAAAGAAACGCCGGCCTTTTATTTATTACTTTAGTGCCACAGCATATTGGGGAATTGAAGTGGCAATATTAAGATGCAGTAGTTTAGCAATTAGCAGAGAAAACGTATGAAATGTAGTAGTAGTCAGTCCATGGTTATCGTAAAGGACTACGTTTATTGATATGGTAGAAGAACTAGGAATAGGAATAGAATGAGACTGGGAATTGGGAAAGGAAGGGGGAAGAGGAAGTAATACCAATTGCCAAAGACTAATATGAACATATTATATATACTGGTGGCCGATGGCTTCTTAAAGTTAGTACAAGATTAGATTAGTGGTGCTTGTCTTTTTTGTAATGTTAAAATACGCGTTTACGGCTCTTATTACTCTATCCATCTTCTGGTAAGTGGTAAGTTGGTTTCGCTTGGAGACGGGACCCGGCCTCTTTGACTTGTTTAGCTGACTAACCAAGCAAGGATCCTTGGCCATGCACGCAGTGACGCAGACATACAGAGACGTGTAATGGGATAAATGCTTGGGGGAAAGTGTTGAGATAAAAATGATAAAATTGCTTTTTTGCTGCTGAGTACTCTCTCTCTCTCTCAACAAGTGGAAAATGGAAATACGGCTCCTAATCAACCCAATTCACATTGGGTTTCACATCACATGTACTCTCGGTCGGAATTGCGGTGCACCAGATTCCAGATATTTGGTTTTGGTAATGGTAGCCCTTTACACTCTATAGTCAAAATGGTTTCATGGCTGAAATGTGGGTGAGGCCCGCCCGACGTAATGGGAGCGGTTTAAGTGGGCCTGGGCCGGGAACCTGATTTGTACCCTCTACCTGTAGTTATTTCTGTCAAAATCAGTAGAGGTTTTGCTACTTATCTTTTATTTCATGAATTTTCCTTGAATAATATATAGTTAGTTGGTTTAATTCTTGCAATGCATCCCATGTTGCTTCTCCTTGTTGGTCCATTAGCTCATCAACATTTAATATTGAATTATTGATAGGATAGGACGGTGCCAACTGCCTCAGTTGATAAGTTCTTTACTCTCTATATAGTTGTTGTTTCTAGCGGATTCCTGAGATCAAATTCCACCATCACCCATCTCTCTCTCTCTCTCTCCTCTTCCTTTTAGACTCCACGATTTCACATTCCATCCAGCGATGATCTCTTGATCCTAGTCTTTGCAAGTTGGTGAGTTGCATCCATATTTACAGTTGGCATTTGAGTTTCAATTGTTAAAGATATAAGGGTTCGTTTGGTTTGTAGTCAGAATTGGAATCAAAATCCTTTGAAATTAGAATTGAAATGATCTATTTTTATAGTTTGTTTGATTCAGATAGGAATGGGAATGGAAATAGGAATTAGCAGTAATATAATGAGATTTCATTCTCAAGAAAGGTGCAGGGAATGACCATTCTCTCAAATGGGGGAACGCCATTCCAACAGGAATGAGAATGGGATTTTGATTCCGTACAACCAAATAATTGAAATCAGAATAACCCATTCCGATTCCAGAACACTATTCCCACAAACCAAACGGGGTCTATATTTTTTTCTTTTTGATAACTAAACGCTAACAAATGCTCCCCCCACAGTTTTGACCGTTTCTATATTTGTTGTTTATTATTATTGAGGACGATTTCCTAGTGTTTTACACCGTAGTTTAGATGGGTATGGATGCCTTCTTAGCAAAGTTTTCAAAAAAAGTTCTGCAAAACTTTATGAAAATGTTTGAATATATCATAGTGTATGTCAATTCATGATATTTAATTATAGATGACAAATAACAAGATGGATCAATCCACACTAAGTGTCAAACTATGCCAAGCAGGGTGTGGTGTGGATAAAAACGAGCCATTTGATCACAGCTTAAATGACTGAAGTGAGAAGCTTATTAATTTGTCATTTAGTGAAGCTATAATTGGGTAGATTATTATATTCTTAAATATTTTATTTATTAAAAAATGAAGAAATAAGTGATTCAATTTAACAACTTAAGTCGTTATCAAATAACTATAATGCCTTATTCAAGAGGCCATTTATCCTGGTAAGTGCATTTATTTATGTTCTTTTTTTGTTAAATTTATTCAGATAAACGAGGCTTCTCAACTTTCCCATGCTCTTTTGCTTCATCCACTTTCCCGGTTAAGTGGTTAATTTTTCTATCTTTTGTTATTTTTATCCTTAAGCCCATGTCCATGTTTTTTTAATTATATTGTTTTAATGAGTGCTTTTGGCAGATTGTATTTTGAGCATTTACTCTTCACTTGGGAAAGTCAAGTGGGAGAAGGGTAACACTTCCCCAGGTAAGTGATACCCAGTAAAAACATATTTACTATTAATCTCACCTAAATCCTCAAAAAGAACGTGGGAGAGTCGATGGGATTGTAATTCCCCATTGACCAACTTTCCCCTATACTAGAACCCGTGAAACATTAGAGGCTATAAATCCTCTCTAGATGGGCTCAATCATAATGGATATGCAATTTCATATATTTGACATATTCACATGAAGGCACAACCTAAAACCCAAAATTCTTGCGACTACTAAATGCAACCTTTACTTTTGTTGCATTCAATCACTAGCCCAACAGTGCTATGCTCGGGGAAGGGAACCTAAACCTTGTAACCAAGAAACCGGTTCTCAATTTCGTATGTATATAACATATTAGTGTCATTATGGACTTACTATAGCAGTATTATCTGAATTCTGGCCTTCCAATAGTATCTATCACATGGCAAGTATGTGATTAGGGCTGTAAATCAGGCTGGGTTAGGTTTGGTTGAGATTAACCCTAATCCAATTCGAGTTTCTAAACCTCCAACCCTAAGCCCCTAACCCAAACCCAATCTGACCTATTCAACTTTAATCCTAACCCAACCTATTCCTTCAACCATAACACAATCTTTCTCCTATCCTCTTAAAATCTCAAATCAAAATCTCTTAATCGATTAAGAGATCTAAAATGACTTTTCATATATACTGACCATTTTTTTTATTGCTGTTTACTTGGTTGATGTTTTTATTGATTCTTTTTAGATTTTTTTTTGAAGCCTGAAAAAGGCAAATTTCAATACGAATGCTGAGAATATAGTCTAAAATAAATTTCATTGTTTTATTAATAAAATGTGATAAAAAAGGAATATTTCAAATGACCAGATCCTCGTGAAAATCTAAAATCATGAAATTAACAATAATAAAATATAAAATAATAGAATGAAAATCATTAATGACAACTTGTAATTAAGTTTGAGCTTAAGAATTAAAAGAAAAAATATGATGATATTAGCCCAAGGGATCGAACCTAAACCGATCATCAATCAAAACCCAACTTGACCCATGTTACAGCCCCATATGTGATAGCTTCATCTATCGGATTCATATCGGATCCAACACATTTAATCTTTGATTGTTGAAAATTCAAATCAAATCTAAATTTTGTTTTATTGTGTTTAAAATAATGGAAATAAATAATTTAAAAAATTAATTATTTTTTAATTTATGCACATATAAATTTTAATATCTATATATACATAATATATATAATAAATTTTAATTAAATCCAATCTTAATTGGATTGATTTTTTATTTCAGAGTCCATTAACAGCCCTAACTATGGCATTGTGTCATTGTTTGATATTGATATTGTTTCTCAGAAAAAGAAGGTGACAATTCAGCGCCACAAATGTTGTTTCGCCAACTGAGGGGTGGCTCAGTTGGTTTGTTAGCTGGTTTGCTCCAACATAGATGCGGATTTGGTTCATGAAACCACTGGCTTTGGGAAGGGAGGCTATTAGTGTGGCGTGAATTACCAAAATACCAAAAAAAAAAATGTTGTTTCTTGTCTTGCCCTTGTGTTGTGTACTTCAATGACTTGGTGCCAGTGTGACACCCAAAAAATGGTCAAAACCCTTTAACGGGTAAAATATAAAGACTTGCCTGAGGTTTTGACAATCATAAAAATCTCTCCTATACTTTTGAAAAATCATGCAGGTACCTCCCTTCCATCATTGTCCCATCCAAAAAAATTGGCCTAATGCATTATTTTTTTTTTGAAAAAAAAAATCCATTTTACCCTTATGTCTATCAATTCAAGTGGAGATTTACTAAAAAACTCCCAAAAGAACTTTTAGGCTCAGTTTGGAAGGAGTACAAATATAAATATGTAGAGTGTAAATATATATTTGTCTACATATTTGTATTTGTACTCCTTCCAAACTGAGCCTTAAATTCTAACTAAAAGAATTCCCTAAGATTAAAAAGAGTAAAGTAATTTTATTTTGTAAACTCATTATGATCAAGTGAAATCTATAAGGGCAAATCTGACATTTTGATTATATTGAAAGATGCCCTAACAAGTACTAAATGCAATAATGTAACTTCTAAGTTTCTCTTATTGAGACAATGATGTCTTTTTTTGGCAATGAACTAAAACAATAATGGAAGGGAGGGAACAGTAAGTTTTTCAAAACTACGAGGGAGGATTTTGTTAAAATGAAACCTCAAGGGATGTTTTAATGATCGTCATAAACCTCAGGAAAGGTTTTTATATTTTTCTCTAACTATTATTGCCACACTATTTTATATTTTTTAAAGAAATATTATATTTCAGAGAGAGAGAAATAACACAGGAAAACACACAATAAACAGAAACACAGATGAAAACTAACAGTAAAAAACCTACAACTACCCCAGAAAACTAACCCAACTAAAATAGTCAAGGGGGCTTTGAAACTTCAGCTTCCTTTTTAGACCTAGAGTCAGACACTTCTAATCTCATAAGAGGGAGCAGCCACAGAGGAGAGACTGACCAAAACTCTTCAGAACAAGATTTACCTTTTGCAGCTAACTTATGAGCTGCAAGGATTGAACCACAACTGGCGCTAAACACCACAAGCTTCACACCTGAAATGGCATACAAATCATGCAAAATCTACCAAACTGCAGGATCACAATCAAAATATCTTTGAGAGACTGTATTAACCACATTAACTGAGTCACAGAAAATATTGTTCAAATTTTGAATTTCAAGTCTAATGGCAGCAAGGCAACATTCAACAATAGCTAAAACCTTAGCAAAAACTGTAGAAATAACTTTACAAGAACAAGAAATCACCAGAGTCATTGGATATCCAAAATCCAAAACCACTACAGCCAGAACAAAAGCTGCCATCAGTCATATCTTTACAACCAGAAATACTATTCCAAGAGTCCAAAAAAGCCTTGCCATCCAACTGAGAACATGCGGTTGATTTTAGAGGGAAACTCTCCTCACTTCAATCATCCACTTGCGTACAAAGAATAGAGTAGAACGAGGATTAGGCAAAAGACTCCTCAAATATAAAAACGTTTCTGGATTTCCAAATGAACCGCTGAGGGTTCCACCACATAATCATCAATATTTGTTAGATTGGGTTCTTGGTTCAGCCCCCACACCCACCAATCAGCAAAAGAATTAAATTACCAACTTGTTTATTGCTATATAAATGACAGAAAATAATAGGAAATTTTGATGCTTGTTTATGTTACTTATTTATTGTTTATATATGACAGAAAATTATAGGAAATTAAATGCAAGTTCTACACCCAACTAATCCACCTTCAAATGTAGGGAGGGTTTTATATTTTCTTGTACAGAAAGGGTTTGGATTTTGAAAATCTAATCCACTATAGATTTTGGGAGGATACTAGTTTGGAGCTCTAGTGAGGTGGGAAAGATTTAACATTTACAAAATCCTTATCCATCCTGCCATGTTGCCATCCCTAATTTGGAATTAGAACCCACTCTTTTGCATGCAAAATAGTTGCACTTTTTTGTTCTGATTTGACCTATTTTTGGGCAACAAAATTGCATCTACAAAAAAGGGTAGATTATAGATAGGTACCCTTTACTTCAGGGGTAGTGCCACATAGGTATCCTGAACTTTCAATTGTGACACTTGAGTACCTTGAACTCTCAAAAATAGACACTTTGGTCCATTTGTTAGTATTCCGTTAGTTAAACATTACATAATCTCAAATATACCCTTCTTGTGTATTTTTTAGATCATTCTACGGAGTAAAATCATCACCAGAAAAATATCGTCGTCAAAAAATTTGAGTCTACTATTTGCTGTCCATGTGACAACGTCATCATGAGGAGAAAGGTATTTTTGATATTATATAATGTTTAACTTATGGAATACTAATGGATGGACCCAAGTATCTATTTTTAAGAGTTTAGGCGCTCAAATATTGCAATTGAAAGTTCAATTACCTATCTATCACTACCTCCAAAGTACATGATACTTTTTCTTTTCTATAAATTACTCAAAAAATGTTAGGGTTTGTGAAGTAAATCTTTTATAAATAGAATAAATCTAAATTTCTATTTGCATTGAAAGATATTTTTGGCATTAAATTAAAATATTTAAATTGATCTTTACAAATATTGGTAAGGGAAGTTCAAGTGTTAAAGTGAAATTAAATGGAGGTTTCGGTATTGTTTGAAACCTAGGGCCGGGCCAGGACCAGATCAGAGTAGGTTTAAGCATTTATTCCAAGAAACAACAAAAAGAAGTGAAAGGACACATGTGATACAAAGCCAAAAATGAGATAAACAACATAACCAAAGGCAAAGGTATTAGGTACAAGGAAAATTAAAAAATTAAAAAAAAAAAAACACAAAAAGATAAATTCCTATAACTTCCCCCTGCCCTATACTTTCTAACTTACATCGTTGCATCTAAATCCCTTCCTAGAATATTAACTGAAATTGCTCATATTATCATCTCGATATTTTTAAATGTCAAGATTGTTCTTAGATGAAAAATGTATTTTTTGTTTTATGCCAAAACCAAAAGATATGTTTTTACACTAACCAAAATACTCTAAAAAGATGATCTATATCATACTTGAATAGTGGGTTAGAACCCACCTTAACCCTCATCCGCCTCAACCCACCCACTTGGACTCGTATGTCCAACATACTCAATATTTTTTTTCTTAAAATACAAAAAAGGAGACAAAAATTGATAAAAAAAACCAAAATTAAAAAAATCACACAAAGCATATGTTTTTTCAAAAATGTATTTCAACAAAAATATTAGAACTGTAGAAAAAAATACATAAAATGATAAAATTTTCAAACAGAATATATATCTCAAGTGAAAAAAGGTAAAATTTGCAAAAAAAAAAAAAACGATAAAGAATTAAAAAATGTATATTTAATTAAAAAGTAGAAAGTGTAGAAAATACATAAAATTCATAAAAAAAAACAAACTTCATGAATTTTTGCCAGTGTAATAGGGAAGGGAAATTTAATAAGCCAATTTACCATTTAAAACGTTGGGTATTTAGGTAATTTTGCCCACTTTTGTCAGCTGAAAACAATGAAGGGAAATACAGTAGTATTAACATAAAGCAGGGTACAGAACCGAAACTATCAGAAATTACCGGGGTGGTTTCAGTAATTTATGCAAAAAAAAATCGAAGGAAAAAGAAAAAGGAAAACGAGGAATGGGTGGGTCGGGGGGAGGGTAAGAACAAAGAAGTAAGAAGACTAGAAGAGGGGAGGAAAGAGTTTCAGGTGCAGCGATACCGAAGAAGACGGGCAACGAGCCATCGACGCAGCAGAGGGCTTGGGCTAATGGCCGCCACAGCTAGGGCCTTCCTGCTCTCACGCTTGAACGACCTTCCGCTCAAGACCCCTCAACTACCTCCCGCCTTTACTCGCCATGTACTTCTACGGCCGCTACTTCCCGCCACCGCCGTTCGGGCAACCACTACCACCACCACCACTATTGCTACCAATAGACAGTCTTCTTCTCCTGCTGTTCTTAATTGCCTCATATCCGGCGTCGACGGGGGTGGCGTTGCAGATGACTTCGTCTCCACCCGAAAGTCCGGTTTCGACCGAGAATTCTCCGTCATCGCCAATATGCTCAAACGCATCGAACCTCTAGACACCTCCATCATCTCCAAGGGTGTCTCTGCCGCGGCGAGGGATTCCATGAAGCGCACAATCTCGACAATGCTTGGCCTGCTTCCTTCCGATCAATTCTCCGTCACAATTAGGGTTTTAAGGCGTCCCCTCGACCACCTACTGGTGTCGTCCATCATTACCGGGTAATAGAAACTACTTCTACCACCATCACCGTTACCTTTCACCTTTCTAATTCTCTTCTCGCGATTTTAATAGGAAATTTGATTGTTAGTGAGTTAGTTATTGGATGGTAATTTTGTAGGTATACTCTGTGGAATGCGGAGTATCGACTTTCGTTGATAAGGAACTTCGAGTTGTCTCCTGGGAGTACCGAAGCTTCGGTTTCTTCTCGAGGGCGTGAGGCTTCTGAGATGGAGTTTGAGGAGAGGGAGGGTGTCAATGGTCATAGTGACGTTTGTGTGGGTTGGTCTTGTGAAGATCTGGTTGATACAAGGATTCCTCAAGGTTTGGGGGATTTGTCTCCCGAAGCTTTCAATTACATCCAAGCGCTGAAATCCGAGGTGGCAGCTATTGAAAAGGTCAGAGCTCTCAGCTCTCCCAATCTCTATTGCTTTCTTATCGGGTCTAGATCCCACATTTGGATGTGAACATGAGAAAAGTAACACAATTTTAAGGAAGGAAAATGGAAAAGAAAAGAATGAATAAAGAAAACGAAATTTTATAAACATAACAACTTTTCCATGTATTGTTTTAGAATATGAGGAATGTTTTAGATTGTTCTAGACTATGAATGATATTGATGCATATTGCGTGGATATGGTATTCAGAAAATCAGATTATATAATTGATATAGTAGAGCCATCAAAACAGTTGATCTTGATTGGTCTCAGTTTCAATTGGTTGTAGGGGATGTATTGTTGAAAATCAAGTTGTAATTACTAATTAGGCTTCTTTTTGCACTCCACTCAGCCATACAATTTAGCCCAAAATAAGTGCTACCTGTTTCCCCCTGTTTAGCTAAAGTATCTGCCATGCCATTTGCAGTTCTTCTCACCCATTTAAAAGTGATGCTCAGTTCCCTTGTTATCATTTCAATTTCCCTAATCCTTTGCCTGTAAACCCAAGGGGTTTGGCTGTGAAATTTTGTCCAGGAAATCACCACCTGAGAGTTCCCTTCCACTTCTAACCTTTGAAAACCAAACTGTTTTGCAAGCTTCAGCCCTTCAAGCAGAGCCATTAATTCTTCTGTCAATGGATCCCCTTGCCCTACAGGACCCAAATAAAGTGCCAGTACCTCACCTTCTGTACCTTGAAATACACCCCCTAAACCAGCCCTTCATTTCCCAAAAAAAATTCTGTCAAAATTTAGTTTCACGGAATTAGGTCTTGCCGGTCTCCATTCCAATAACGACCCTTTCTTTCTCTTGGGCTGAGTTTGCCACTTCCTTCCATGATCTCAAAATATCATTGAAGGATATAAAACATGGAAGATTTCCAAGGTTTTTACCCAATGTACAACTTTTATCTTTATGGCGTCTATGATTCCCGACTCAGATCTACACCTTTCATTGAAAATCCTCCCGTTCCTTTCTTTCCCAAATAGTCCAAATCAGTGCTTTTCACAGATGCTGTTTTTAAAATAAGAAATCCCAATCCTAGCTCTATCTTCTCTAGTCCAAATCTCTCTCTCTCTACACACACACACACACACGCACGTGCGCATAGCCACATACACACATTATAGTTCACAATGAAGCCCTATTTGGAGTTATGAGCTGAACTGGTAAATGGACACTTGGAAAAGAAAGTGTCAGAAAGCATTAAAAACTGCTTCTGTTAGTGCTAGGGAATATTCAAGCATCTACTTAAACATGTGAGACCCATTTCTCAGTCACGGTCTCAAGTATTTTGTTTACCGGATTTTCAATCTCCTGTGGAGTATGAGGGATATCAATTTTGTCATCGGAAGCTACATGGTGGAAAAATTCTATATTGTATGTTTCTTATTTTAATAGGATGTGTGTTCACTTTTGAAAAGGTAATTCTGTATTACATCATGCAATTTGGGGGTCCAATATTTTCATATATTCTGGTGATATTAATCTTAGCTGACTGTAGGTCTCCTCTTATTGATATCATTATATCTTTGAGCTCTCTGTAAGGGCTTTGACTTTTATGGTCCCCTGGTTTTTGAATGATAGGTAGGGGAGGATTCTTAGATTATTATTTGGTGAATGAGATGCCCTCTTACAGTTCCGAGAGGTTGAGTTATTTTGCTAGAGAAACTAGAAATTTGCCTTCCATATTAAACACTTGGGTTGTTTGGACATTTTGATCTGCAGACGTGGTTACTGGTAGGCTTGCTATAGGTGGAGTTCTGTGGAGTGTGCTTATTCAGGGCTTTCTTTGCTGGTTTTATTTTGCTCACAATGTTTATTTTGTGTTTGTTTATGGTGCATCTGTTTTGGTACTTTCTCCCTTTCTATTGTTGTCTACTACCTTAAGGAGTTCAGAGAGTATCCTTTTGTCTGATTGCAAGGCATTATGTTATCTATAGTTCAGATGGTGTGTATGTCTACAGAGACTCGTACCTTTACATATCGGTCAGGTAACTTGGGGTTCTTGTTTTATTATGTGATCTTAAAATCGGATTTAGAAAATCTAATGCTTTCATCTTTGAGGTTGATTTTGAAGGAACAAATTATATATTTATGTACTTATTTTCAAACAGATAGGGATATGAAAGAAAACTTTTTCAGGGGTTGAATGCACTGTGAAATGTGTCTGCATACAATATACATGATACTGCTTTTTGGTAAAAAATTGCATACATGATACTTAATTGCATCTTGAAGTGATTGGTTATATTTTATCAGGAATTGAATGCACAAGAGCAGGAAAATGTCCACATGGAATGTAATGGAGAAGAGAACAATGATTTGTTAGAGTATTTACGGTCCTTGGAGCCCAATATGGTACTGATCTTGGAATTTCTGTGTATTACTTAGTAGTGTTCTTAGTTCATACTCCATAATTTCATATTTCGTTTTGCTTTTTGAACAGGTAAATGAACTATCTTGCCCGTCATCATTAGAGGTGGAGGAAATTATTCATGAACTCATTCAAAATATACTGCAAAAGTTCTTTAAAGATGAAACTGCCTCCGGTTTCCTGGAAGGCTCAGTCATAGTAAAAGCAGACAACTACCCAAATGAAAATGTTGAGCTTTGTGATTCTATTGGCACTACCCGGGATTACCTTGCTAAGCTACTTTTCTGGTTTGTCCTCATACTTCACCAATGATCTTTCCTGTTATTATCCATACGTTTATGCCATCATTGCTCATATTTCAATTGAATTACTATTCCAATCCTATAATTTAAGCATTTGAGCCTGGTTTTATAGCCAGGATATCCACATAGAGATATAGACATGTTCAAGCACACACACATGTATTGGTGGTGCAACTGTCCATGCATTAATATGTGTATTTGTTGTTATTTAAACACCAGTAATTTTTGTCATTGTGCAAATGACTAAAATACCTCAATTGAACATGTAATGCAGTGGGAAGCATGAAGATTGAAGACTAACTTTTTTCTGTACATGATCTTATATTACTTTTGTTCTTTCATAGGGTTCTCATTTGCTTTCTAATAATTTTACTTTTATCACATCCTTATTCAACTTCCCAATTATTACCAAGTTGTTTTGTAATCTAAATCTTGAATACATGTGTCAACATGTTCTGGTAAAAATGAAAGAGGAGGATTAAAATTACACTCTTGTGCATGGAGGACCCTTTTTGTACTCCCATTTAACAAATATGTTGTATATAGGCCTCATTCGTTTTGCGTTACCTGGGTAAGGCATTTCCCCGGGCAAGTGATTCCTGGGGAAAAACGCTACCCAGGTAATCACAAATACGGCGTTCGGCTTGGCTAAGGATTACTCCCATTTAACAAAGCGATTGGCGTTTTACCCACCTTCTAGGAGAGTATTGGTTACCTGGATTGTGTTTCTTAAGCCATAGACCTGTCAACCAAAATATCAGATCGACTGTAAAGAGACCTGAGCCAAAATGGTGTTTTCTGGTGGCATATCTCAAAGCATCTATTATATGTTTTATTTAATTTGTGCAGTGAGAGGTTGAAGCAGTCTAAAAGAGGCATCTTTTTAGTGCCAGAGCTGGTTTGGTGATAACTAGTATCCAATTTTACTCTGAAATACAATGCTTACTTGTAGTTATTATCCACTAGTATTATAATGTATGAACCTTTATTGATGTATTCAATTCTGATCGCAAACTGCATTATAAAGGTTATCTTATTCTGATGGCAGGTGCATGTTAATGGGTCATCACTTGAGAGGCTTGGAGAACAGATTGCATTTGAGCTGTGTTACTGGATTGTTGTAAAGTTGAAGAAAGGAAGTTGTAGATGCATGTACATTCTTCCTTATAATCTGCTTTCTAGAAAACAATATGTATGATCATTCTAATATTTGCACTTCCCAACAATTCATTCGTAGATTCCTTCAAGTAAATTTACCCATTAGCATGAATTGTTAGGTCATCTCATAGTCGGTGTATAACCCAAAATGGTAACGAGACTTTCTTTCATTGGAATAGGTAGAGTTGGAACCAGATTTGGGATCCTAAAACTGCCGCAAGGCAGTGCATGTATTCATTCTGAAATCTGGACTCTAACCTGTGCTATCAACATTTTTTTTTATTTATCATTATTATTATTTTTTGTGATGCTAGTTAACTAGGTGGAGTTGTGTAATACTTCATCCGAATATTTCTGGTGTCGCAGGGACAGGAAAAGAACCTTATTTTTTGGCTCCGGGGAGCATCCATTGGAACATTACCAAATGCCGCCTAGTTGATGACCTTCTGTGTTGTAATGTGTATCCTATCTAGAGGTGCTCCACCCAAGTATCGGAGTTGAGTGATGGTGATGGGGGAGGTGGTTTTATTGGAACCTATTAACAGAGAAGGCATTAAATAACTTTGTACATCAATCTTTTAGTTATTAAAGTAAACTACTGAGGGTTTTAAACACGAATTGCCCAAGGAGACCATTAGGCTCAGCAACCACAACACTTAGGTTATGCAGCCACGTTTTGTTTATGGTGTAGGATGTTCGTGCTTGCAAGACAACTTTTGGCACTGAACAGGCTTGTATGCATTTATTGAGTTCGGTCTCTAAATTTTTATTTTCCTTTTTCTTATCTCGTCTCTGTGCTAAGCGGGTTCAAGCTGATTGTCAATCAATTTGGCCTCTTATTGTCGGTCTAGCTTATTGGTAGGTTTTCAAGTCGGCAGCCTTTGACAAGTTACTAAGACTAGCCTGCAATGCATCCTCAATTGGTTTAGAACTCTCTTTTGCTGTAACAGAGAAATGCTCTTCCTGTATTGAATTCGAAAGATTACAGACGCAACAAAATATGTTCCAGGATGGATTGAGGGAGGTAACAACCTTAAAACCAACTGGGAATCAATTATCAGCCACTTTAACCCACTATATTTCCTAAAACTGAAAGTTCACCAACCTTTGTTTCTAAAAAATGTGTTTTTTACCTCATGTCGTCCAGGGACCGGTGTCTCTTGAATAGAAAATATAAAATCACTGATGTTGGTACTGTAACCAGAAAAATTTGAGCTAATTGAAAACAAACATTGTCAAGAATTACTAAAATTATCAAATTCAGTTTTTTGCATTTCACACCGTTGGGCAAGGAAGAACAAGTGAGAATCCAGGAATAGTTATTTGAATACAGGCAAAGAATCCCATCACCAATCACTATCTCTAACGGCCACTGAACTCCATTCATCGATGTGGTTTTGTCTCATTTTCTAGGCATGGATACATATATCATCTGGGCTGAGCTGATTGATTGCTTAACCAACAACGACTACAGTGTTCAACCAAAAAAAGAAAAATGCAAAACAATGTAAATGTTTAGAAAAAGATCGACCAGTATGATTGGGCCAGATGGACAACTCTGGGTTATTGTTACATGTTACTCTCATTTGTGGCAATGCACAGAGACCATGTTAAATTTACGTGAAAGAAACAAAATACAAGTTTGGAGAATGCTTGTGCTTAAATTGGTCAGCCTTTTCCCTTTACAAATTATCTAAGTGTAACGAAACTTCTCTTTCCAAACTCCAAACCGACTTGCCTTCTACTTCCTTCAATGCCCCTACGCTACTCTATCTTCATGGTTATGTATAAAAAGAGCCCATAATCTCCATTTCCCAAACATCACTCTCAAGTCTCAACACCCAATTCTGTTCAAATTCTGCCGGTTGAAAATGAACTCAGATCTAGAACAAAAACAACCCAACTGTTCGACTAAGAACAACATGAAGAGAAAGACTGGTGGCTTGCTAGGGATCCTAATATTATTACAATATCTAGGTTCCATCAGAGCAGACCCGGATCCCCTTCAGGACTTCTGTGTCGCCAGCACCAGCACCAGCACCACCTCTCAACCCTTCTTTGTCAATGGCGCACCCTGCATTAACCCAGCACAAGCACTTCCCGTCCACTTTATGACATCTGTTCTGTCCAAACCTGGTAACACAAGCGCCAACCCATTTGGTTTCAATGTAACCCTCACCAACACAAGAAACCTGCCTGGTATGAACACCCAAGGTCTAACCATGGCACGCATCGACATAGCGGCAAATGGGCTCGTACCACCCCACTCACACCCTCGAGCCTCGGAGGTCACCTTCCTCCTTAAGGGCAACCTTCTTGTGGGCTTTGTAGACACCTCTAATAGACTCTTTACGCAGCAGCTGCGTGAAGGAGATTCGTTTGTGTTCCCTAGAGGACTAATCCATTTTCTCTACAATCTCCAATCCTCCCCGGCACTATGTGTCTCTGGCCTTAACAGTCAGAACCCCGGTGCACAGCTTGCTGCAATTGCGACATTTGCAACCAATCCCTCCATTCTTAATGATGTTTTGAAGAAGGCGTTTCAAGTTAGCGAGAAAGATGTTGCCAGAATTCGGAAGAACCTTGGCGGGTGATTACTTTACTACTTTACACCTGCTGGATGAAGATAATTACTAGTTAATTGTAACTTATTTCTTATGATTGAAATTTCCTTCTCGACGTAATTTATGGATTCTTGTACCTCCAAGATGAAAATGAAGAGAAGATTGGGGTTGTCGTATTGTTCATGTGATGTTACACCGTTAAACTTGAGCCATGTTGACAGGAAACTCCCACAATTCCAATACTACAAGTCTACGATATTACACAAATGCAAAATCATTCAGATTTTGGGCTTTACAACATACCCAAGTCTTATAACCGGCTGTAATTCGTTATCACCTCCGCTTTAACTGTAAAACCAAGTGTGCATTCAATTGTTTCTGCAACCGTTGCACCAAAAAGGAACGGTAGGAAGGGTCAAGGGTGTATCATCTTCACGGGTTTCCGAGTTTTATTAACCTAAGCAATTTATTGGATTAGGTTGTATTCAAATAATTCAAATTACATGTAAAAATTTCATCTCCAGGATGTATGTAAACTTTTAGAACTTAGAAGAATCAAATACAATCACATTTAAAGACTACTGTACATTAGCAATACAGGGATATTAGTGTTTAGGTGGGAACAGTGATAGGGAGGAGTTGATGCCAATACAGGGGATATTGTTGTGCTCTTTTGTCATAAGCAGAAACCTTAATAAAAGGACTCGCGCATAAATTTATTCACAAGGTTTAGGAAAGAATGGGACCCACGATACAATAAACAATAAAGTGATAGGGGAAAATCACTTGCCCTAAAAATTCCAACTTCACCTACAGTTGGGGAACAGTGATAGGGAGGAGTTGATGCCAATACAGGGGATATTGGTGTTTAGGTGGGGGTTTGAATTATGGGTGTATGGTGGAATTAAATTTTCTGTGGGTTTCAATGAGATTTTCCCATTCTTTAAAATCTCTATTTAAAGTGCCTAACCACATTTCTCAGAAGAAAGAATTTGGGAAACACACAAGGGCTCAGAAAACCTCTACCAGAAAGCTTTGACCAATGAAAAAGTTGCAGAGAATTTTGATACGTACCACGAACCCTTGTTGGGTGCACGTTAATACCAATACTAGTATACTGCTATTAATTCTATGGGCTGCGTTTGAAAATAATTCAAATAAATGTAAATGCAAATATGTAGTGTAAATTGCAAAATTGGATTAGTTTTGCACCGATAAATTTATCTTCTTATCAAATAGACTTTTAGCTGTAATGAATACAAACATAAATTCTAATAAAGCATTTTTTAATCAAAAACCAACTTGAGTGCAAATTTACTTATTAATGTACTTTTACATCTTATTATCAATGAAAGTATGCATTGGTCTGTCATTTATCAATACATAAATGTAGTGTTGCCAAATACAACCAAAAGTGAACTAGAGTGCAATTTTACCCTGAACCGAGATTTACACTCCATTTGATTGTCTCCAAATGCAGCCATAAGGATTACAATGACGTTGCCTATCAAAAGTTAAAAAAACTAAAATAATGCAGCTTAGGTTGCGTCGAGGCAATTGAATCATATCTCTTAATAACTCCTCACGCCTTTAAAACAAACTGATGATGGGTTTCAGCAGAATCTTTCAGATTCCAAAAACCAAATTAAAGGTATCCAAAAACACAAGCATCCTGAGGATGCCACGTTCAATAAGTTCCCGATGGTAACCGAAATTTAAAAGGCTCGGCAGGAATCTAAGAAGAATCGATTTCCTATACAACAAAATGAAAAGGATCCATTAATGGGAAAACCAGTAGTCGATAAACGCCACTTAACCCCTTTTATTCCTTCTAACTTTGGTTGAATTGTCCACAGAAATTTTGATCCGTTTCAAGGAAGTACAGCTTTCAAATGTTTCCTATCTGCTCCAAATGCCTGCACAGAGAATCCAGGTGAGTCCTTTACTCTGCTACAAAGCCAATAGCCAACAGTTCTTTCTTTCTATTATTTTTTTAGCGTTTAAGGGAGAGGTGTTTAGGGGGCTGTAAACAGATTACATCCAAGTCCATACCATTAATAAAACTCAAATTGGATTGAAAATTATACCATTAATAAATTAAACAAAAAAAAATCAATTAGGGGTGTCAATGGACTGGGTTTGGGTTGGACCAATCTGAATCAAAATCAATTTGAACAATTTGGGCGGAGCAATAGAACATATTGAATTTGATCAGCCCAAAATATTTATTGGATTGGACCAATATTCAGTCCACTGACATAAGATTAGAGTACGGGTGTCAATGAACCAGGTCTGGGTTGGACCCAATCTAAATTAAAACCAATTTGAACAGTTCGGACAATCTAGACACTGAATTGGTCCAGTCCAGGCCCATAATGGTCCAAAGTATTCATCGAATTGGATTGGACCTGGTCCATCTGTAATGGATTCATACTAGACCAGATCAGATTGGACCAATATCTGGCCCATTGACAACCCTAAGTGCAATGGTAAAATCTCAAGCTAGCAAGTGTGAAAACACAGGTTTTGAGAGCAGCTACTTTGTGAAAACAATTAAATATAAAAGTGTATTTTGAACTGATCAACCAAGAAAAAAACTATTTCTGAAACTAACAAAAAGGCATTCAAAATGAAAAATATGTTATGTCAAAAGGATGACTTAGGCCATTATTCGGTGTCATAACATTGTTGCCCACATGCTGAAATTTCTCCCAGTCTAGTACAAGTGCTAATTTAAAGTTCACATGGATTACACTAATCCACATTTAAATGCATTTGGGCCCAAATCACAAAATAAACAAGGGACTAGAAATGGCTTCAATAATATATTTCATAAATAAAACGACTTAGGATGGTATTCTTCAACACAAATGTTTTTGTTTTTCCTGTTTCTAAAAAATGCCACATCAGCAAAAAACAAAAAACAAGTGTTTGAAGAAGTGTTGTTTCAAAGCATAGTGACAAATATTTTTTAATTGACTCAAAAAATACCCCCATTTTTTAAACTAACAAATGACTGCTTCCAAAAACAAAACATTTTTTAATGTCAAGAATAATTACTTGGGTACTATTTGGTGCATTGCACACGCAATGAAAGTTAATTTCCGCCTTTTTTTTTATAATTAGTTAATTTCCACCTTTTAACGTCAAAACAAATTACACCTATTGGAGCAAACCTTTTCCCTTGAGGAAACCAAATAAAAAGGTAGAAAAGAATGAACAAATATAACAGATGAAGAATAGATCGGAGGGGAATGAAACTTACCTCTACACCAAAACCTTTTAAGTACACATTGGTGAACAGTTCAGAAGGATCAGGCATGGGACTTTCCTGGAAACAAGAGGAAACGACAAGCAGCATTAATAACAGGAACAGAACAAGTTCAAGCATGCCATAGCAAGAAAAACTAATATAACTGATGAAGTTCAAAACTGAAGCTAGTGTTTACTAGAGTAGTCCAACAATGTACAAATAATATATTGCTTCTAACCTTAGCTTGAGCTATGGCATCATCCACTTCTTTCCTGACCTCCTTCTCGGCATCCTACAAAAAGAAATTATTGACATTTCAGTCTTCTGATGCAATGAAATTCCTGCTCAATTATTCTCCCCACACTATGTTCAGACTTTGTGATTTTGTCAAAATACTTTAAGGCCCCAAACTAAACCTACAAGCCACAAACTTTAAAATACATATGACACTTGATGACTTGAAAAGACTTTTTAAATCCAAAACCGATTCAAAGAAAGCAAGCAATAAAAGCTAATTCAGTTAATCCCAAAAGCATAAACTTAATCACCCACACTAGATATTCAAAGCCCATTTCAAAGAAATACCTTCAACTCTTTTTCAGTGGCTAGCTCATGAGATAATATCAACTTCTTTATTCTCTCAATTGGATCACGCTCCTAAAATCACAACCAGAGCAAGGTCATATGGAGTAGATATGACCAAATCTTAAGAACGATTACAGAAAGAGAAACATTGAGAAATTAACCACCTGTCTCACACCAGAAATTTCATCACGTGTCCTGTAGGTGCTTCCAGGATCTGACATGGAGTGTCCATGGTACCTGTATGTGTCCATTTCAAGAATCTGAAAATCCACAAAGAAAGTTGTCAGGTTAATTGAAATTACTTTAAAATAGAATGTTAGAAATAGTATTCATGCTAGAAGTAGTTTCTGAGATACCCTTAGCAGACAACAGTCAAGAAATTCATCCATTTCCTATATAGACGACAACAAAAAATAGGAGAAAGCCTTTTAATACAGAGCAAGTAGCTTTATATGCAAATGAGATAAGAAAAGATACCCTTTAGCATGAAGGGGCACAAGAGATGGGGGAGAAAAAGGGCATAGGCAATAATATAACTTGATTTTTTAACCATAGATATATAAACATTGTTATGGGCCTTCAAATCATTTCTCACGACTTCAACCCATGTCCTTTTTTGTCTGTCCCTAGCTCTTCTGCACCCTTTTTTATCAATAACAACAGATTTCATTAATACTTAAAACAGGGTACATCTTGACAGATGCATCAAACTCTGATTCTCTGAGTCCACTCCCATTCCCTTTACTTGCAACATCTATTGTTATGGTTGATGGCTCATGGGACACCACCACACACTATGAAACCACAGGATTATGTCTGCCATCTCATACTTATAACATTTCTATTGCAGAAGGACAGCCCTGCTATGTAAATGCCACCTCAGAAGCTGAATACAGGGCAATCATTTGAGGCCTGAGGAAGCTGCTTTCTTTTGGAGTGAAAGGGCTCTCCTGGAGCACATACAGTATCTTTTTATCCTTTTTTTTTTATAAATTAGTATCTTTTAATCCCTTTTTGTTGCTTTTTTTTTATCAGTAACAAGAAACTTTATTAATGATATGAAACTATGTGAAACTTCAAGTACAAAGGGGGGAGGTAAAATGTCTTAACTCCCCACCAACAGAGTACATTGGAAGAAAGTCAAAAGTTCACCCAAAATATAGATTCCCTATTCACCCCTTGCTTGGCTAACCCATCAGCAAATGAATTAGCAGTCCTCTTCACCCAGTTGTAATGCAACACAATATCCCTACTCAGCCATTTGAATTTTTTCTTCTCATTGTTATAACTCCACAAACCGCTGTCTTCTTCCTTTAGCCACCTAATCACCACCTCCGAGTCACCTTCAAGAACCAAACATCTGATGTTCAAATCTCTTGCTCTTTGGATACCTTCCAGGGCTGCTAGAATCTCAGCCCTAAGAGAGTCTCCTTCTCCAATTGGGCCTGAGAACATGGCAGTGATAGCCCCATCCTCATTCCTGAACACTTCCCCAATCCCACAAAGCCCTGGATTCCTTAAGCAACTACAATCAAAATTCAGTTTTATGAACCTAGAGGGAGGAGGGAACCAATAAGGACTACGAGTCCTCTTACATAGGGCAGAGGAAGCTATGCCTTTCCAATTTCTTACCAAATCAGCCACAGAATAACCTGAGAACAGCTCCATAGTTTTCAGCCAATGGGCTACCCTTAAAAGTATTAGATCTAATAAGCTTTCCAGGGTTCTTTCCTTGTCTGAAAATATTCGTGAGTTTCTTTCTTCCCATAGGGACCAACACACTGCTGCCCTAATGCTTCTCCACATAATCTTCCCTCTCTTCTTTGGCCATCTGAAAAATGAAGAAGAGAACAAGCTTTAGACGCTCCCAAGGGGAATCCAAATACACCCAAAGAGGGAAAAGGCCCACCCCCATACTGTTTTAGCGACCGAACAAGTAACCATAAGGTGGTAACCAGTTTCCCCATCAGCTTTACAGAGAGTACACCTATTAGGAAGTAAACAAGAATTGGGTCTCTTTTTCTGAAGTAGGTCATTTGTGATCCCTTTTTTTTTGCTATCAAACTGTTTTATGTAAATAGAAGTGAAATTAGTGTTAGAGACTGCAAACCTATTCAATGACCTCACCTAACAGCTTAAGCTTTTAGGTTGAACAGTTCTTTAAGATGGTATCAGAGCTTGTTTGACCAAGTGGTCTAGCGTTCGATCCTTACCGCCCCCATTATAATTAATTAAATTTGAGCACAAGGTATGGGTGCACATGTTGGAGACTGAAAACCCATTCAAGGACTTCACCTAACAGCTTCAGCTTTTAGGTTGAACAGTTCTTTAAGAGTTAGAACTGCACATGTAATAGCTAAAACTGCCAAAACTAGGAAGTCTTTTGTTTCTTTTGCTAAAGCACCCCCTTAGCCTTCCAATCATATCATTGTACAAGGGGGCTTTTGATGTAATAGTGTTTTGAATGGTTCCTTTATTTTGCAAAAAAAAAGAGAGTACATAAAGCACAGATAAAAGAGGAGAGGTAAACTCTCTTTACTCTCTTCAATATCTTGAACAATGTTACAATTAAGCCCAAAAGTTGGTTTATTCCCACCACTTGTTTTGCTATTTGCTAGTACATCAGCTAAGGCATTACCAGTTCTTTTAACCCATATCAGTCTCACATCTATATCTTGTGTCATCCATTTGAATTTCTTTCTTTCACTGTTGTAGTTACAAAGTCCAACTTATTCCCTTTGTGGACATCACATCACCAGCTTTGGATCACCATCTATAATCAACTTATTAATGTTTTAGATCCTTTAACGTGTAACAGATCAATTCTGTTACAGGGGCAATATTGATAAAAAAACCACCACCTAACTTCAAAGGAAACTTGAGGATGTTATGAACTACAATAGTGATGAAATCAAACTGTAGATTAGTCCAATGGTGTGCCTAGGCTCTTGTCTCTAATATACCCTCACATGTGAGAACTATATTTATTGTCTAACTACTAATAAACTCCTATAAAATTTATATGCATTTCTTGGTCCAGTTGTGTTTCAAGCAGCTACTTCTCATGCAGGTACAAACAAAGAGTAGATCAGCATCATTCACCCTATAGATCCCAGTCCTTTCCTTTGAAGATGACAAACCACGTCATAATCAAAATAGTGGGACCAGAAAACATGCCTTCAAATCCTATTGCCTGATTTCTAATTCACGGGGTTTGACTAAAAGACATGGATGCATCCCAAGAAAAAACCAATAAGTTCCACTTCCAAGTGTCGTACACTCTCTAATGTCCTGAAGAAGAAGACATCATCAGGTCCCCAAATATGCTTATATCATCGAACACATCTTCAGATATTGTGGATAGCATTGAGATTTTTAAGACAGCTTCTTATCATAGCAGCAATTTGGAAAGAAATGACTCATTAGAAATGTTTTTTTTTTCCAAATAATTATAGTTTTTCTAATATACTTTACCAAGCATGAAAATGATCTCATAATATCTACCACACTCTGAATAAACATGAGGAAAAAAAAGTATAGCAAGACTCCTGAATATGGAAGGTAGACCCAATGGCAATTTCTCCGTTCTGTACTTTTATGTAGTACCCCTTGGACCATTAATGATCCAATACAGAAAAAATCTATGGAGCATGAACTGCACTTGAAGAAAAAAACGTGAACAGGAGGCAAAACAACACATCACGGCTAACATCTTTAATGTTATTAAAGTCTTGATTGTAAGTACACCTTGTAAAACGTGAATCAATGAAAAGCAAGTAGACCAATGTGACGTCTTAAACATGATTAGTTGAAATCTTGATTTAACATGCAGCCAATATTTGTAGATGTACTGTAGTTAGACTCTTCTATTGCAAGTAAATGTTCCACTGAAGATTTCTCCTCTTGTTCACGTTTGCGCCAGAAAGATTTCTTACAATCTGTCAACTAAAATGAAGACATAAGGATGTGAAAAATTGGGATCTCACTTTGTGTAAACCAACAAATCAGCAACCCTTTTTTCCATTCCCCCTTTTCTATAATGTTTCTACCTTCTTCAAAACCATAGATTCACCAAAAGAGACATTCTTTGGTGTTGGGACCCAAACACTCCCTCCGAACCCAACTGTAGGAGTGGAGCAGGCCACCACTGAACAACATTTCACTAGAAGACAGAGAGGCTAGCGTGACACGCGGCAGAGCCTCCCAGAGTTAGTTACACCGCCACTAGAAGATATTCTCTCCATGATTGCATACATGTAGGCCAGCTATATAAGGCCCTGATCATGTAATAAGTGGCATGAATGAATATCCCTTTCATCTTTCTCTGAGTCATTTTCTTCCTACCTTTCCCCTCTCTTCCCCCCATCTTCTGTTTCAGGAGGTTAAGCCACCCTCGAAGGGGCTTCTGAGGTGAGCGATAACTCATCAGATTGGTATCAGAGCCAGGCTATCCAAATCCCAGGCTTCACGATGCCACAGACACGTTCCACTACCGTGGATGATAGGGCCGACCAGCTTGAGGTTGGATTCCACCAGGTGTTGAACAAACTCAAGGAACTCAAAGTGGTCGTCTCCAACTTCGCCTCTCAGCAATAGTCCGGTGAGACCAGTCACCCAGCAGGAGCGGAAGCCTCTACTTCCAGTAGCCAAAGAACAAGGTATTACCCCACCGGAAAAGTCACTAAGATCAACTTTCCCAACTATTCCAGTGGAGATCCCATTCCTTGGATCTTCCGAGCAGAAAGGTATTTCGAATACCACGAAACTCCCGCACACCAGCGTGTCTCCATCGCCTCCATTCATCTAGAAGGAGACGCGATTCTATGGCTCCAGTGGTATTGCCAGAATCATCCCCAGGTAACTTGGGCGGAGTTCACCGAAGCTTTGTGCATCCGCTTTGGGCCGACGGCGTTCGTGGACTACGACGAGCTTATCACTCAGTTGAGGACTCCTCCACGGGTCGATCAGCCTCCCAGAGTTAGTTACACTGCCACCAGAAGATATTCTCCCCATGCTCGCATACATGTAGGCCAGCTATATAAGGCCCTGATCATGTAATAAGTGGCGTGAATGTATATCCCTTTCATCTTTCTCTAAGTCATTTTCTTCCTACCTTTCCCCTCTCTCGAACCCATCTTCTGTTTTAGGAGGTTAAGCCACCCTCGAAGGGGCTTCCGAGGTGAGCGGTAACTCATCATTTGGCCAGTGAGGGGATATAGCAATAGAGGGAACACATCATTCTTATCAAGAGAGAGAAAGA